AGCCACAGGCTTGAAAACACACCTGCCACGAAACCACTTCTTCCCACACAAGTGGCGTGGCGTCAGAATAGCGCAACTTCGGTGGTGCCAGAAGACGGCATGTTTCTCAAGAGTTTATATAGGGCACCACTAAGGGCACTAGAAATATCACAAAGGTTGTAGCAAGAATGTCACAAGATAGCACAACTTCGGTGGCAGGAGGAGCACCAGAATGGCACAACTTCGGAGACGAAAACCGCCCGAATCCATCCGCGGTCAATTAAATAGTAAGGCGAGCCCCGGGCCAACCAGCACCCAGCCCCAGCTCCAGCTGAACATTTACTTTAGTAAGGGGACCCCCCCAGTCCCAGCCCCAACCGGACATTTACTTTGGCAAGGGCAGCCGCCCCCAGGCGGAAGCCAATCCTCAACCCCAGCCGGATATTTTTTTCCTTGATTAGGGGAATGGCCGAAGAGCAAGTCAGACATTAGTTTAGTATGGGAACTCCTCGAGGTCAAAGCCTGAAAGGAAAAACAAAACAGAGACAGAAGGCTGAGCAGGAAAAGAACAAGTCAAAGCCACACTGGAGCATTGTGGTTCAAGGAGGGGGAACCTAAATCGAGAAACCACCAAATGGGTCGATTTTTCTCGTGCGCTTCGTGGTGCTCATCTTTGTGCACGTTGATAGTGTGCCGGGGCAACGTACAAGGTGTATTTTCATCATGTTTTCAGAATCAGTCTTTCAGGTTGCAGTACTTTCCGGACCATGTGCATCAACAGGCGATTGCGTGACAAGCCCGAACTATCCCAATTTTTATGGCAACGATGAGGCATGTGAAATTGTGGTTCCTTTTGGGAAGCCGCTCTATGTCACGCACTTCGCAACACAAGATGTCCATGATGTCTTGACTTTTGGTGGTCAAACCTACTCTGGGCTTTCAGGGCCACCACAAGGCCTTGCCAATCCACAAACTATTCAGTGGAGATCCGATTCTTCGATCAGTTCCAGTGGGTGGCAGATTTGCACTGCGGATGGAGTGAAACTTGCCTTCCATTGTGGCGGATAAGCTAAATCAAATTCATGCAATTCCGGTCCTTACCTTGAGGCGGTCCATGTTGATTGATTTTGCCAGCCCAAAACAAACCTTGCCCAAGTTTCCTTCGTTGCATTACAGTGTTTAAAAACGTTTTCAATTGGAGATGAGTGCTGCGCACAGAAAGGATGGATCTACTCTTGCGAATACTCATAAAAGAATCGGAGCTGAAGGGACAATAGCCGCCAAACACAAAATGTGACAAATGTGTCAAGAAACAATCGCTGAGCATCAACGAATCTTCAGTGAAGTTTCCTGAGCCGTTTGTCGAGGTGTGCATGATTGGAGCAAGAACTATAGAATTGACAGAAGCCAAGGGGGTCATGGTCTGAGGCCACATCCAAAAATGGTGCAGGGAAGCGGAGCTCGGAAGTCGGAATGGCTGCACCGTTTGACGAGTCCACAAGCCGCATCACCTACACAGTGTGCTTTGGTGGTTCTGTCGGATTCTATCGTTCTGTTTCTGTTGGTGGAACTCACGCTCTTGGATTGACCCCTTGCCAAGACGTTTGTTATCGCCTTGGGCTTTGAACATACAGAACCAAGTTCTTTAGAGTGAGAAGAAGGGGTCATGGACGCAAATACACAAACAATCACCCTTCCATTGTTGCTCACAAGGCCTTTGGATTGTTTTTACCAAGAACCTTTCTCAAGCTGGTATCTTTTCCCGTCTCGACCTCTGGAACTTGCTCCTTGTTTCATTCCTGTTCTCAACGAGTGCTCTTGCAAGTCTTATGCTTGATGTTTTTCCCCAAACAGTTTACTTTTAGGGGTTCTCAATTCTTTCTTAAGATGTGTCCGCCCTTTGTGTCACTGCTGGTGTCCTTTTCCGCTGGCCATATAGCATTTCTGTTCATTTGTCTCCCAGGTCTGTCACTGCTGGTGTCCGCCCTTTTCCGCTGGCCATGTAGCATTTTGTCTCCGGTCCTGTCTCCCTTCTTGGTGTTCATTGTGTTGTCTCCCTTCTGTTTCCCTTTGTCTCCCTTCTTGTCTCCCTTCTTGTTGGTCATTGTGTCCGCCTTTTCTCCCTTCTGTCTCACTTTGTCTCCGGTCTTGTCTCGCTGTCTCGCTTCTTGCTGGCCTTCTTGTCTCCCCTCTTGTTGGTCATTGTGTCCGCCTTGTCTCAAATCTGTCTTCCTTCTGTTTCCTTCTTGTTGGCCATTGTGTCCGTCTTGTCTCCCTTCTGTCTGCTTTTGTCTCCCTTCTTGTCTCGCTTCTTGTTGATGTCTCAAAAAGTTGATTTGGGAATGCTTCGTTGTTGTCTCACCTGTTTGGGGTCTACGGTGGTGTATTTTTTGTATACAGTCTTCTTCTTCTTGTAATTCTCCAGGGAGTAGCGCAGGTCTCGTCTGAAAGCAATATACAGTCATGAGTCATGGGTGCGTGTGATGCCACCAAGCAGGAATTGTCCAATCCTCCCCCACAAGAAACTGGCTGGTCGTAGGCGGACGTATTGAACAAGCGCCTGTTCTGCTTTCTGTGACCGATTCTGGTTTCACATGGTTTTTCCTCCACATTGAAGAGCAGGCCAAATCTCAAGGTAGTGCTGAAAATAGCCTGTCAGCTGATCCACATATATGGTGCTGGTACTGGTAGCCTGCTTGAGTGCCTTCCACCAGATGCTGTAGATACCAACTGATCATGCTTGCATAGAAGGAGATTGATTGTGCGACCACCGACAAGTTTACAACACAGCAGACAAATAGCATGGGAATTCAACAAAGCAATTGCAGCCTGAGAACGCTGCCAAAAGCTTGGCAAGGGCACTTGGCAGACATACTTTTCAGCTGCTTCGAGACCAAAATATGCAGTGAGACAGATCTCAAGTAAGACTGACCAACAAACCTTGGCAACCCGGAAACTTCCTTTACTCTTGGCCACTGAAATGAGACCGCATATGCGCCCTTTCCTGCTCCGGCAATTTCCCGTGCCACGCTGCTTTGCTACCCCGCAACATGCTTGAGCACATCCAACCATGGCGAAGCTGGTGCAAGTTGCCTTAATTAATTCAGCAGCACCAGCTAGACTTTTCAGGTTCTGACGCTCATCCATCAAGCGCTTTCCTGAGAGCTCGCTGATTCACGGCTTTTGTGTTTGGTGTTTGAAATGACAGGAGCCTGACTGACAGACACCTTCCATGGATTGCCAAGACCTCTTTCATAGCTCTTCATCCCATCACTGAAAACACTAGCAGCTTGCTGCGAATCATTCTTTCCAAAACATGTTTTATGCGCAGCAAGGCCACAGCCAAATGCATGTACCTATCAGAACGTGGTGTGCTTTCTGTCTCCGTTACGACACGTTCTTTCTACGAAGCCATAGTTGGCCAGCTGGTGCTCATGAAGGAACTAAGGAGCCGGCGGGTTCCCCGACCCCTTGCTATCCGATCACAAGTACAGCATGTGTTTTTCCTGACAATACGCATGTGCCGGGAACAATGCATTAGCAGTTCTGATGCGCTTTCCTTCTTCCTGCTCCCCCCCACCTCCTGGATCGCAGTTCCTGCTTCCGTTCTTGCTCCCCAGCTCCTGCTTCCCAGCTGCCTTTGGATTTAACAATTGGATTTGGGCTCGGCTCAAGCTTTAGCGTCACACTCTTGGAATGTCTGAAAAGCCCCAGTCAATTGAGTTGCTACCTGCTGTTGGGTTGCACAGCTGGTTGGGGCGCATGAGAGTGTTGGGGCGCAATAGGGCGATACGACCAATTGCCGGTGTCTAGGAGCGTTGAGCGTCTGGGCACGTGGAGAGCGAAACATGGGGTTGAATCAAGCGCGGGTGTTTCTGCAACAACGATGCTAGCGAGTTCGCAAGAGACCAACCCATCTTTTGTATGTTTGTTGTTCTTCTTGTTCTTCTCGTGGCTGCTGTTGCCGCTGTGGTTGTGCTTCTTGTTCTTGTTCTTGTTTGGTTGGCGCAGCTGTTTTGTGCGAGCATGATTTGGCAGCCAAGGACAGGAGGCGAGAACTTTGTGGTTCTGTCAGGGCCTTGTGCATCAACGCAGGGCTGTGTTCAAAGCCGGTACTATCCAAGTCGCTATAGCAACAATGAATTTTGCGAGATTGTGAGCCCTGAAAAACCGGTCTATGTGATACACTTTGCGACAGAATCTGGCAAGGATATCTTGACTATGAACGGTCTTAACTTTGCTGGCAGCAGTATAACTTCAGGGCCGTCCCAGGGCATCAGTGCTTCAAACATGATTCAATGGAGATCCAGTGCAGACGAAGTTGCACGTGGATGGCAACTATGCATTGCCCGTGACATGAAACTTGACTTTGCATTTTGAACCCAATGGGAACACTTGAAGGGACCCCTTTCAATACCAGTCCAAATCCTAACGAACGTGTTCTTTGCTGAGTGTGTTGGACAATGGCTGCTTGTCTTAGGCCCTTGCCTGAGAGTGCCACCTGCAACTTTGAGACTGGTACCTGTGGGTGGCGCTCTAACCCTGCAGTGGATGCCCATGGATTCGCACATAGCAAATCAACGACTTTTCAGATGTTCACTGATCTGCATTCCCCGACTCCGAGCAGTCTACGCTTGGCTTTCATGTACCAATTAGTTCCAACTAACACCCAATTCCAATTCTCCCTCCAGTATTTGACAGCAAGTCCATCCTGGGGCTCTGTAGAGTCCTTCTCATGGGTCGTGCCTTGGACCGGAGCGAGTGCTGGAGATTGGCGAAAAGTCAAGTTGACCCTGCCAGCAAATATAGTTCTGGCTCTGAAGTTCGAGTCTGTGGACGCTGAAGTTTCAATCGACAATGTACACCTGACACAGCCTGCATCCATTGCACCCATCCCATATGCCCGCATCACAACCTCCTACCATACATGCGTGTTGCATGTTTCTGTTGGGCAGATTCGATGCTGGGGAAACGGATACTATGGGCAACTAGGCCAAGGAAACACCGA